ATAGTAGGGTAAAATGTTCTATAGAGGTCTATAAAGTCCATTTTTTCTAGGGTTAGGTTTAAGTCTAATATTTTTTTGTTTCTTCTTGGAGGATCTATCCAAAACTGTCAAAGCTATTATAGTGCAGGAAGATATCAAGTTGTTCATATCCATTAGGGTCTGCTTTATGAATTGAGCATTCTGGCAGGATGCATAAATGTTAATTATCAAAATCTCTGCATGTTGGATGTTTCCCTTGATAAATATGTAGTGACCTTCCTTTTCTTCCTCTTTGTTGATTTAAAGCCAATTGTATCTGCTACTAAAATTGCAACCCTTGTTTTTTTCTTGTTTCCATTTGCTTGTATTATACCAGTCCATCCCTTCACCCTGAGTCTATTTTTATCCTTTAAGGTAAGGTGACATTCTTGTCTGATTTTATGTATCCAATCAACCAGACTGTGCCTCTTTAGAAGACAATTTAAACCATTCACATTAATTGAGAGAATTGATAAGCCTGGTTGTGTTTTGGGTGTCATGATTTTCGGATGTCTAGTGGACATTTTTAATCCTTTCACCACGGAAGTTGGAATTTGTTCAGAAATTTCTGGGTGAGTTTACTTTGGAGGTAGAGCATTGGTCATTGTGGAAGATGGGTCTGAGACTATCCTGGAGAGCTGGTTTAGTTGTGGCAAATTGCTTTAACATGTCTATGTCATTAAAGTATTTGACTTCTCCACCACAGATGAAACTCAGTTTAGCTGGATACAGGATCCTGGGCTGAAAGTTGTTTTGTTTTAGCAGACTGAGGGTCAATGACCATCTTCTTCTGGCTTGAAACATTTTGGCTGAGAGATCTGCAGTCATTCTGATATTTTTCCCTTTGTAAGTGATGCTTTCCTTATGTCTGGCTGCTTGCATAATTTTCTCCTTTGACTTAACTTTGGCAAAGTTAATCACAATTGTCTAGGAGATGCTTTATTTGGATTGCTGGGGTTCTGAACTGTCTGCTATTTGAAGTGCAATGCTTGGGAAATTCTCCTCCAAAATCTCTTGGAGTAGAGCATCTGTTCCTTTAGGACCATCCTCTTCTTTGGGAATTCCTATAAGATGAATTTTGATCTTTTGTAGTGGTCCCACAACTCTCTCAGGGAATGATCAGTTTTTGCTCTCCATTTGTCTGCCTCTTTGAGTGTTTGGGAACATTCAAAAGCTTTGTCTTCAGTTTCAGAGATCCTTTCTTCTGCCTGGTCAGCTGTATTACTGAGGGATTCTACTGTATTTTGAAGCTCCTCAACTACCTTTTTTGTTTCCTTGAGCTCTGCTATCTCTTTTCTCATTATGTTCATATCTTTGGTGACTTGGGCTTTGAATTCTTTAATTTCTTGAGACAACTTTAGAACTACTCTTTGGAATTCAATTTCTATCTTTCCTTCCATTCTATTTATTTTATTTGCAATCCATATTCTGAATTCAGTTTCTGACACTGCTGCCATTTGTCTATGCAGGGCATCTTCAGTTGTGTCTCCTTTGTCATTTCTTGGGGTGGTTGATCTACTCTGATTATTCATGTTGCCAGAGTTCTTCTGTTGGGTCTACACCATGTTTATTTTCCACCATTTGGTTATTAGAACTGGTAGGGTGAGATTGAATTGGGATTCCCAGGTGGCAAAGATAGCTCCTTACCAAAAAGCTGTAGGCTTTGTGACTGTGTCTTTTCTCCTACAGCCTTACAGAGGCCCCTTTCAGAGTTTTGGCTGGAGACTCTGAGGACCTTGGTGAGATAGCACAAGCTAGCTCTGTTTTGATATCAGCCAAACCTCTACCCTATCCTAAGAAATCACAGTATTAGATTTAAATCTTGACTGTGAAGAGTTACAGACAGCTGCGGTGCCCAGCCCCCACCCTTCAGTTCTTTTGCACTACAGAACTTCGATGGTCAACCTCAGAGTGTCTCTGAGTGGACAGCCCTAGACACGGGTCCCAACCAAATTGTCTTAGACAGTGCAAACCCTGCCCAACAGAGAGAGATTCAGGGGTCTCCAACAGCACAATTGGAGCCAGGGATCCACACTCCCTCCCGCCAGACTCAGTCCACACAGTTGTACGCTTCTCTGCTCACAGGCCCAGCTGGAGCCAGGGGCCATGACCCCACCCACCGGTCTCAGTCCATATTCAGCTAGCCTCTGCTTGCCAGACCAGTTGGAGTCAAGGGGCCATGCCCCTTCCTGCCAGTCTCAGTCCACTACCTGGCAAGACTGTTCATAGGCTCTGTTAGAGTCAGGGCACCTCACTTGGCCCACAGGTCTCAGTCCTCACCTGGTAAACCGCTGCTCACCAGCCCCGCTGGAGGCAGTGGATCATGCCATAGGCCTCAGGTCTTGGTTCATAACCAGTAAGCCACTGCTCAAGGGTTCTGTTGGAATCAGGAGACCATGCCCTTGCTCTCAGGTCCCAGTCTATGCCTATCAAGCCTCTGCTCGCAGGCCCAGCGGGGGCTGGGAACCAGCCCTGCCTGCAGAACTCAGTCCACACAGGAAAACAAACCACTGTCCTGCTGTGGGTGCTGTCAGAGCCAGGGGTTCTGCACCCCGTCCCACCAGACACAGCCCGAACCAAGGGTCAACACTACAACTGGCCGAGCATAGTCATAACCAGGGGACTGCTTCTCCTCCCACTGAGTGTCCCATTCTTCCCACACCCTCTTTCTTCCCCGTTAGTCACAGATTCCGATGCCCAGATCTCTCAGGATAAGACCAAACACTCTGTGCTCTGCAGGGGGCAAAATTTCAGACCGCCATGTGAGGGGGAAAGGGTGGACTGGGAGTTTGGACTTGTGGGGGAAAATATCTGTTCAGTTTTATGCCTGGCAGGGTGATGTCTAGGTTCATAAATGGGCCCTCCCTGGAGAAAGAGACCTGGAGGTTAGTAGCTCTCTCCAGCGAGATAAAATGAGAGGTCTTTTGTTCCCTGCTTGTTTGCAGATAGCCTGCGGCAGGCCCCCTGCTTAGGGGAGGGGTCTCCTGTCCTCTATTCCATAGGCTTTGTACCTGTAATTTGTTTTCTTGAATGCTCTTCCTTGGAGTTACAGCTTGCCAAACTTCTTTCTTGGCTCAGCTCCCCGTCTTTGGCTTCATGGAGTCTGATTCCATCCAGTTTTGCAGCAGTTTAAATTTCATAGCAGGTTTTTGATTTATTGAAAATTTTTGTGTGTGTGTGTACACAGAAGATGCCAAAAAAAGTATAAATATTTCACAAAAAGAAAAAACTGTATTAAAATTCTAATACTCAAATCACGTTTGCTGCAATTATAGGAGATATAGTAGTACATAGGATAACAAACGTTATTGGTCTTTGTGCAGTATTACAATTTTAATATAATTTTCACACTATGTGTGTGTATATATATGTTATACTATAGGATGAATAAAATTCTGTTAATCTCCCAGTTACCATATTTTATTTATTAGAACTTTACAGCTACCTTGAAAATAGGGATGATTTATGAACTTCAGACACATATAAACTTTAAAAGATAACATTACAGATGCAGATCCTGTGAATTATAAAATATCAGAAAATACACACAAAAAATAATTGTATTCTTACAAACTCTGGTCACTTCACTATTATAAAAGTTTAGCACATGTCTTTCCAGGATTTAATCCCTTTATATACATATATACTTAAATGTTCAAAATGATGTCTGTGCATACTACCACATTTTAGTGAGTTTTCATCTCCTGATATTAATCTCTAGTCAGAATTTCCAATTTACCCACAAAGTCTTTCATGGGTAATTTGCCAGCTTAGCGTTCAAAGTAGGACTTTGCATTGCCTCTGTTTGCTCTGAATCTCTCTTTTTGTTGTTGTTGTTGTTGTTTTTGTTTTTTTTAGAGACAGAGTCTCACTTTGTCGTCCTTGGTAGAGTGCTGTGGCATCACAGCTCACAGCAACCTCCAGCTCTTGGGCTCAGGTGATTCTTTTGCCTCAGCCTCCCGAATAGCTGGACTATTTTTTTTTTTTTTT